GCGAGTGGAAGCCAGTGGAGGGATTGGCAGAGGGGGGATGCAGACACTGAGCGGTTGGTAAGGTGAATGAGTCTGGCAGCTGGTTTGCTGCAAAGTTCTCATTCTGTTACATTTCTACAGAATATGTGGCAGAAGATTTCCCATATCAAGTTAAAAAGGAAATCTTACACATGACAGGCACAGGAGAGGATGCTACATATACTGCAAACAGAGAAGAAGACATGTGAAATTCATCATGTAAAGATATTTTTTTGGGACATCCTAAAACATTTAGGGGTTATTCACTAACCTGCTGAAGGCAGCCGAGTGAATAACTGAGCCAAAGTTAAGTCAGCCGAACGCTGTTCGGCTATTCACTTTGGCCCTGTACGGCTGATTTCACACATCGGCTAAAATCAGCCGTACATTAGCTAGCTTCGGTTCAGCCGAACTTGCCCAGCATATTTGGCTGAGCTGAAGTGAAGGAGCCTTTCGACTCAGCCGTTCCAACATCTGGATCGGCTGAGCCGATCACTCAGTGAATTAAGTTCACTCACTGCCGTTCACCATATTCTCATAGCCGAGCGGCATTTGGCTCGGCTATTCTGTTTGCTAGCTCGGAGGTAGCAAACAAAATTAAAAACTGACATGTTAATAAAGAAAAAAAAACAGTGTGGGGCCCCCCTCTCAAACCTTAGCAGACCCTTTAGGTCTGGTAGGAATGTTAGGAGGGACCCCAAGTAAAAAAAAATGCGTAGGGCTCCCCCCAAAGTCATACCAGGCCCTTTAGGTCTGGTATGAATTTTAAGGAGGAACCCCACAAAAATGTGGGGTCCCCTCTGAAATTCCCAACAGACCCTTAATATCCGAGCACGGGGGGGGGGGGGTCAAACAAGCACCCCCCTCGGCCAAACCAGGCCACATGCCCTCGGCACTGGGAGGGTGCTTTTCCAGTGGCCCCCTGGAAAAGCACATTGGCCCTGGGCCGATGGGGACAAGGGCCTCTTCCCCACAAGCCATGGGACGTTGGTTGTGGGGGTTTGCTGCCAGGGGGGCTTATTTGCATCGGAGTACCCCTTTAATAAAGGGGCACCCAGATGCTTCCCCTCCTTGTGTATGAGTAAGGGGTACCCATTCACTAAAGAGTTAAAGTAAAAATGTAAATTAAAAGACCAGACTTTTGTAAAAAAAAATCCCTTTAATTAAAATAAAAACACCACAAAAATCCTTTATTAAAATAAAAAAATTCCCAAAATGTAATCCAACAATGTAACCCAGGGTCAATCACGACGTCCAGCGTTGTCCATGACCCGACGTCCGCCAACCCATTCTGACATATGACGGCCAAAAACTGTTTACATTTGTCCGACACCTGTCAGAGTCTTCCTGCAGGTCCCGGACAAATCAAAACAAATGGGCGGAACAAGCCGTGACATCACGGCTGGCTCCGTCCAGTTGTTGTCATTCAATGTCAACCCAGAGTCCTCAGGTCATTGAATGACAACAACTGGGCAGACGGCAGACCTTTCGCCCTGCTTTGGATGTGACCTCGGGTCAGCTGAGCCAAAGCATAAGCGTTCGGGTCGCGGAGCCGCTCAGCTGCCTTCGGCTGCTGTATGGGCTATTGTGAATAGCGCGTACAGCAGCCCTTCGGTTCAGGCTAAACCGGAGGGCTCCGGCGGCCGAAGTGAGCCGAAGGATTAGCTGATGCTTTGGCTTAATCTTTCGGCTCCTTCTGAATAACCCTCTTAATGTGAAAATGGCTTAATGTAGCTTAATGTCTTATAAAGTGCCTAAACCTCAATCAATTGCCTTGAAACTTTGCACAACCTATGTTTTCAGCTTCCCAAACCTATCCTAGAGGTTTCATGGATTTTGCTTTCCCACAAGGAAAATGAGTGACATTAAGCTTAGTTTTTTGAGAGCTTAATGTGGCCTAACGTACAATAGGAGCTTAGATGTTAACCAATTTCCCCCAAACTTTACACAATACACAACTCCATCTATGCCAATATATTCTGAAAGTTTTGGGTTGTTGTAAAAAGACCTTAATGTGTAAAAAAGTACTTAAACCTCAATCAATTGCCTTGAAACCTGGCACAACCTAACGTTTTTAACTGCCCAAACCTATCCTATAAGTTTCATGGCTTTTGGTTTCCCACAAAGCAAGTGAGTGACATTAAGGGGGTAATTCACAAAGCTGCCAAAGGCAGCCGAGTGAATAACCAAGCTGAAGTGAAGGGAGCCGAACTACGTTCCGCTATTCACTTCTGGCTTGTACGGCTGATTTCAGCCATACATCGGATTAAATCATCCGTACATCGGCTGCCTTCAGCTGCACTTCGGTGAGCCGAAGTGCAGAAGGACTTCGACTCAGCCAATCCAACATCTGGATCAATTAAGCCGAAGCTCCAGTAGCTCACTCGCTGTCGTTCGCCCCTATTCTCATAGGGACTGAACGTCAGTGAGTGAATAGCGGAATGCCGCTTGGCTTATGCCTTCGGCTCGGCTGTGCCCCTCGCCCACCTTCGGCTGCTGTACGGGCTATAGTGAATAGCCCTTACAGCAGCCCTTTCAGTTCGCCTGAACTGATGGGCTCCGAAGAGAGCCGAAGGATCAGCCAAAGATACGACTGTATCCTTCGACTCCATAGTGATTAAACCCCTAAGTTTTTTTGGGGGAGCTTAATGTTGCTTAACATGCAAAAAAGAACTTAGATATATTGTGTAAAGTTTGGGGGAAATTGGTTAATATCTATCTATGCTCTCACTGTGCTAATTTGTACACAGTGAGAGCCTAGCTAACCAGTTCTGAGGAAGGGGGTGTGTCCCTAAAAATGCGTTCAGCAGTGGAAGCGGGCCTCGGCAGACAAGCAGAGCTTCTGGATTGTCTCTATTATCTCCCACTCACCTCCACAACAGAAAAATCACTCAGGACTGTCAGTCCATTGATGTTCTTTATCCTTACTTAATTCTTTTATATATTTTGTATACTTCTTTTTACCAATAAAAAGATTTTATTGCACCAGGTCAGGCGCCCGGTGCTTTTTTTTGTTCCATACAGTGTTCAGGATCCCTCTTCTGCAACGGGGCAAGTGTACTGGATCTTAAGAAGTTATTTTGGGCTACAGAAGGGTTTTGTTTTGGCGCTGTTTGGTGCTTTTCTTGACTATGTCCTCAAATGACCTATCCTGTCATTTGGCCAACAACTTGCAATAGCGATTTGAAAGATGCAGCCCAAATGTCAACATATAGGCGGAGCCAGTGGTGATGTCACCGCTAGCTCCACATATCTGTTTATATTTAGCCCGGCATCTGTGAAATTGTTCATTTTGCGGCAGGAGTTCGTGTGCGGGTGGGTTGGCTGGCGTCAGTTTTTTAAAATAAAAGGATTTTTTTTTTCTAAAAGTCTGGTTTCTTTATTTACATTTTTCCTTAACGCTTTAGTGAATGAATAGGGGTACAAGTACCCCTTACTCATTCACAAGGGAAGGCAGCATCTGGGATGCAGATAAGCCCCCCTGCCCGCAGACCCCCACAACCACTGGGTCAGGGTTGTGGCGGAAGAGGCCCTTGTCCTCATCGGGACTCCCCCCCGTTTTTGGGGGTGGGGTTCCCCCTTAAAATTCCTAATAGACCTGAAGGGCCTGGTAGGACTTTTGGGTGGAACCCCACACACTTTAATTGTTAACTTGTCCCTCCAAACTTTCCAACCAGACCTAAAAGCTCTGTTATAAATCGGGAGGGAGACCCTGCACTTTCTTTTCCCTTTCTTTTGTTGAAATGTTTTTATTAATTATGTTTTAACCGAGCCAAATGCCTATGAGAATAGGGGCGAACGGCAGCGAGTGAACTTCCGGGTTTTCAGCTCAGCCAATCCAGATGTTGGATCGGCTGAGTCGAATGGGTTCTTCGCTTCGGCTCAGCAGAACATGCTGAGCTTGTTCGGCTGAACCGAAGGGAGCCGAAGCCAGGCGATGTAAAGCTGAAGTGAATAGTGGCGTTTGGCTCCCTTCACTTCAGCTCAGTTATCCGCTGGGCAGCTTACTGAATAACACTGAATAACGTAAAATGTCCATCTGTCAAAGTTTTGTAGTTGAGGTTTCTATTTAAGTTACAATTATTAAAGTGACACAAAACTCAAACATTTATAATTCTAATTCATAACCTAATCCTGCTTTCCTTTCTACTTTAAAAAGTGCTGAGCCGCTCCTGCGCTCCTCTGATTTCCTGCATCTTCTTTTGAAAAGTGCATGAAAGTTCTGTGAAAGCACGCCAGTCTCTTACAAAACATATCCCAGGAGGCACAGCGCACAGTGTTCCCACTGTGCATGGTTTCATTCAGACATGGTTCCTCCCCCTTCCCTCCTCCTCACTCTACTTCTGCTGCCAATACATAAGCCGCATGACGGCTCACATAGTATGCAAAGGAAAAAAAAAGAGAGATAACAAGCAGTGAAAGAAATATAGCTCACCTCCCCCCCACACAGAGAAACACGGAGGATTTAGTGGTTTGTGTTCTGGAGGCGAGCCTTCCACAGAGCGGGCAGAATACAGATGGGAGGTATTTGAGGGAAGAGAGGAGTCAGCAGAGGAGACAAGAGGGTGCTTGAAGCATCGTCTTGTCTCACTATAGTTCTTAGCGGGAGCGAGAACAGAGGCTGGCTGCTTTTCAGCTACCACCGGGACTAAGGAAAAGAAAAGTGGCCACCTTCTAACAGGAAGTACGGGACCTGACAAAGAAACTGTTTTTAGCAGCATTTAAAGGACACAATTTAAAACTAAGCTAGCTCATTATAAAATGATAATATTGTAGATCTTGATTTTATTATTTAATTTATGGGTTTAGTGTCGCTTTAAGAATTTAGAAGAGGAGATCCAATTATTAATGAAGTAACTAGAGGCATGTGGTGGTGTCTGCTACCAAAACCATACAAACTAAAAACAGCCATTATGAATTAAAGAGAGTACAATCTAGGAAAGCATTTATTCACACAGAGAATTAAGACACTACATTTGTACCTTTTCAGTTAGTGTCTTAAATGGTCTCAGCAGCGGGTGGGATTTTGTATTTTCATCAAGGGTAGTTCCATATTTCCATCCACTGTGTAGCTAAAGAAAGACCAAAAACAAGAACATTATATATAAAATAGATGTCCAACTTAACAAATACAGATGGGACAAGCATGTTTCTCCTAAACCAGTTGTATAGTGTGTACACTTATTACTCTGTCAAAAGAAAACAAAATTTGGGTACCTAAGCTTCTATAAATATTCAACAGTTTTAGGTAACTTAGCATACAAACATGTTAGATCTTCTTGGTCTGTGGTTTGAATGCCCTGTGTATTTTATGTTTGAATGCATGACAGACGAGTGAAAAATATCTTAGAAAAATAAAAGTTTTCTTTGATATCTGCTTTCCTCAAAATCAAATGTTAGGCCTCGGAGATCACTTTAGGATCTGGTGGCTCATCTGAGACTGAGACTGTTGATGAGTGTCACCATCTTGGATGTGATGGCATGCGCCAGAGAGCACCTTAGGTTCTGGTGGCTTGTTTGAGACCGTTGATGGGTGCCGCCATCGTTGATGTAATGTCAGCAGCCCCAGCAGACTCAGTGTCATCACTCAAGTGACATTTTAAAGAATTCCCCACTGATCCTCCCCCAGCTTCTACACAAATGTTTACAAAATAGAGGTGAAGGGAGGGGTGGATGAGCTGCCAGCACACATAGAGTAATTAGACACTTCCAGAAGAGCAAAGGGCTATGACAGGAGGTAGGGCGTTGTGTTAGGGAATGGGCTCTTCCTGGAGTGGGCGAATTCCCTAGCAGTTTTAAAGTGAACTTTTTTTTTTATGGATAGGAAAAAAGCAAACAAAAAGTAAACATCTAACCCCTTCATGACTGAGCATTTGTTCCATTTCTGTTCGTTTTGACTGGACCACTTTTTACATTTTTGCTGTGTGATTCTTCCACAGCAGTAATATATTTTCTTACTAAGTGTACCCACACACATTATATATTGATTTTTTTAGAGGAAAGATAGGGCTATATATTTATATCACATATCTGCACCTAACACCTCACTTAGTACGAATAACATATAAAAAGAAGAGCGAAAAACATAAAGAAAACACTTTTTCCCCAGTTTTGATAATTATTTTTTAGACAAATAACACAGCTAAAAAAATAGAATTATAATAAATTCATTTATTTGGAAACACCTCACATCTCTATGGTTTCAGAAATGTTTCTGTATTTTCAGCCTAAAACTAAAAGCTAACATTTCATTTTATTTCTCTAAAAGCTAATAGTGGTTAGGTTAGGTGGCCTACAATGTCACTGTCATTAAGTGTCACTAACTGGCACATCTAGGGACAGCGACATACTTTAAACAACGGCTTCATGAGGGGGTTAAATACAAAATTAAACCCTTAGGGTGAAAACAAATCTGCAGCTCAGTTGCAGATTTTCATTTCAAGGGGTTAATTTTTTTATAATAATTATAGTATAAAATATATTTATATATTATTTTTATTTTGTTTTTTAACACTTTATTTTTTTACACTTTTTTTGTGGTCAATTATATCAAGTAGTCACTAATTTAGTTAATTTGTTTAAACAGGAACAGACAATAATAACCTTTGTGATGGATCCTGACATCAGATCTCACTAAAGGCTTCTGATTGTTCCCAGACGATCAGAAGCTTTAAAACATTTCAGCAAAGTAATACATCGTTACAAATGTATGTGTTGAAGAATGTAACAAACAGCACACGTCCAGAAGTCCTGGCCTCTATAGAGCTGTCAAAACTGAAATACTGAAAAAACTGAAATAGCAGAGTGGTGTACACACCATTCTGCTATTTCAGCTGTCAAATACCAGATCGCTGATAGCCATCCAGTATTTGTAACAGCCTAATTCTTTCATTAATGAAAGAAAAGAAGCTTTTATAAAAGCTTAATTCTTATTAATGGATACCTCAGTACTGAGGCATCCATTAATGAACCGTAACTGCTGAACCTCAGCAGTTACCAGCATTTCAAAGCCCTGAATAGCGGCTCACATACAGCGTATGTGAGCAATCATTTAGGCACTTTATGATGGAAACGTACAGTGTACGTCTCCAGTCGTGAATGGGTTAAAATACTTGTGTCTTACTTCTTATGTTTTAAATATCTCTTTAAATGCATCCCAACAATAAGGTAAGAGCAGACCATATAGGACCTCCCTATGGGGCAATATAGGTCCTTACAACTGTTTTAAGTATTTATAATCTCAAACAAAGGGTTTCTAACTTGTCTGTTTGAACAGGTGCTGATAACAGCTGGAAAGTCCATAGCAGGTTTGAAGATGGGCACAAATCACCAATAGTAATATTCAGTGAGGAACCAGTTTATCTATGGATATCTAAAGGAAAAACTGAGGGTTTGTGACCACACAGGCAGCATGGGGAATACTGATTACAAAGGCTTTATATCTGTACTCTTGGTCCCAGAACATTTTGTAAGATAATGTGAACTTATGGTGATTAATACAAAAATGCATGCAGAAAATAAATTATCTGCTATGTCATGCTGCAAGATGTTGACATTATGGCTGAGGGAACAGAAAGACCAGGAGGCCATGCTCTCTGAGGAGCTGTTGGCCCAATGTAAGCTGCACAAACAGCTCCTATTAAAATCGATCTCAGATTAAAACTGTAATAGAAATCAAATCTGCTGTGCACCATAATTCTTACTATTATTTTGTAACAATATTATGCAGAACATTTGAAATAGTTTAAATGTTATATATGGTTACTCCCACATACTAACAAGTTTGCATCCCTTACTAGGACGTTTCTTGTTTTCAATAGACAGATAGTTAGGAGAATTCTAAAAGAGTGTCACTGAGACAAATAAGAAAAAAGTGTCTCAGGGTTACAGGAATAGTGTCATTATTTGCTCCAAATTCATGTACTAGGCTGCAAAGCATTCATGCATTTGGCATAACCCTATGAAACTGGCAATGGCTTGAGAGACAAACTTTGGGACAGAAATAGGCACATTGATAAAGTACATAAATGTGTTGCATATGTGTTTGAGACAGATTTCATTTGGCTCCTCTTACTCAAGGAATGTTGCACCTGAGGTATGTGTCACATACTGTGACAGACATATACAATATGAACATGCAACAGACTAGTTATAAGTACTTGGTCTTACTTTGCATCACTTTTCTTTCTCTTTTTCATTTCTTTCTAATTTTTTCTTTCTTATTACCAAACTGTTAACGTGTTTATTTATTGAATATAGAAGAGATGTTGTCCGCACACCATTCTGCTTCAGAATATCATCTTTATTTGTATTCCTTTAGCATGACATATGGATGCAATCGATATGTCACATTCCATATGTCATGCTAAAGGAATACGAATAAAGATGATATTCCGAAGCAGAATAGTGTGCAGACAACATACAGTATCTTCTAGATTGTATACTGTGGCGCCATCCACCTGTTCTTTCAACACTCATTGGGTTCTGGGGTACATCGGTACAGTGTGCGAAGGGGATATTACTAAGACATAAGACACCAGAATGAAATATGGCAGAAATAAAAACTACTTGAATTTGGTGCAGGAGTCGGAAGAGGTCTGAAAAATGGTGCAACGTGTTTTTCAATTTGGTGCTGACATTTCTTAGGCTGCATTAACTCCATAATTCTGGTTCAAATGTGAAATTGAATTTCCCTGATTGTGCCTTTTATGTGAAAGATTAACTGTATTAGTTGTTTATTGCACCCAGTGGGAGTCTTCCTTTCATGCTCAAGAGACAGGAACTGATTATGTATGGATAACAAATAATGTTTTTACTCACTTTAATATCTAAAAGTAATATTCTATGAGGGGGATTTATCAAATCTGGAGCAGAGAAAATCTGGAGCAGCTGTGCATGGCAACCAATGACCATTCTCGCTTGCATTTCAAATCTTATCTGAACAAAATGAAGAGAGAAGCTGATTGGTTGCCAAGTGTAACTGCTTCAGAATCTGTCTGCTCCAGTGTTATAAATTCCCCCTATGTGTTTTTTTGTGATATGTTAAAAAAGTAATACTAAACCCCAAAATAACATTTACAATGAAGATAGAATATAATTATGTCTTCCTTTTTGTTCATGTATTTCCCAGAATAAAACAAACCATTTCAGGCTGAAAAGTTGCCTGCAGTGTCTATCAGTGGGACTGCTAACAGCAAGCAAGCTGTGTAAAGCAAAAATACTGTGAATTCCCAAAGGAACAGGGCATATGCTTAAGATTCCATTATGATAAAATATCTACATACATATTTGTGCATAAATATTTGCTATAAACCAAGTTTACTGATTTTGTACTGCTATGCAGCAATTTACTTTCTTTTTGGAAGAACACTGTGTATGCTGATATATTAGATAAGCATACTATGAACATCAAGTATTCTGTACCTTGTCATAAGCCCATTTATCATGGGAATGCTCTGCGTATTTATTGACAATATATTCCAGCTTCTCGGGTAATGTAAGACTGTAAAACAAAAGCACAAGAAAAAAACTCTTGTAAGTCGGAAATGAAAAAGCTGCTTCAGCATGATTCCTATCTTCTCTTGAATTTAACATTAGCATAACATTATTACATTTCAGTATGTCTTCCATATTATCAGTCAGACAAATCCCCAAGGTGAAATAAACCATAGATATAGTTATGTGAATTGTGATACACAGTGCAAGACAGAATAACATTTTATTTCCATATTATGCGCATCTGAAATTACTATACATGAGCAAAAGACACTCTATATAAAGTAGATGTCACACTTGTGATCATATCACTGGTTGCAAATCATCAGTGACAGGATTGCTGTGATAGCAAAGAAACCACTCACCTGCTTTTATGACGCTGCTCCCTTGCTGGCGAGAGAGATTCTACAGTGTTTTGGAAGAGTGATGCAATACAAGCAGGTGAGTGTTCTATTAAGCCTGCTACTATGCTGCAGCTTTCACAACACTGTGCACATGGCTTTGCTTTGTGTTGACATGAATTAAATTAAACTCGAGACATTTTTTTGAGTTTGGGATAGACTTGGAAAGAGCAAATACTTCAGATAAGTTTTCATAGTTGTCCGTGACCCTGTTGGGCATTTTCCCTTGGTCAACACTGGTACAGGAAGACACAGACCAAAACAAAAGCCTGTATAGTGAGTGTAAAGAAAGTGAGGGGCACTGTACTGCTTTGTGTTTCACAGTTTATGATGAGTGGCAAAGTGATGATTGGTAGGCAGCTCTTTGGTTCCAGGGACCCTTTTTGGAGTGGTTCCTGTGGAATTATGGAAGGAGATTAGAAGATAAAGGCACCACTCCATATGTAAAAGTATAGACTAGGTGTTGTGTTCAACAAGATGTGCCAAAATGTTTTGAGGACTACAGGGATCCCCATTCACCTGAACCGGATTATTAGAAGATTTAAGTCTGGACTGGGCTGAGGGATCAGTGAAATGCATAGTTGCCAAGGACTGTGCATATCGGAACAGGCACAGTCCTCAGGAACTATATGTTTCACTGATCCCTCAGTCCAGTCTAGGCCTAAATCCTATTATTCCAGCCCTGGTGAGGAGGGATCACTTTTACCCCAGAAACGCATTGGCATATCCCGCATATATTGGCATTGAACACACCAAATGGTATTCTGGCCATTACCATTGAAGTGGCACCCTAATCTTGAATCTAAAGCAATGCGCAAACTGTTGGTGCTATATAAATCCTGTATAAAAATAATCTATTTCCGTAATAATAACCTAGGAGTAGGGATGCACCTAAATTTCGGCCACTGAAACAGTTCGGCTGAAAACAGTACTTTGGGTAAAATGCTGAAAGTACAATTTTTTGGCCAAAAATTTGGTGCATGCCTGGTTTCTCTCAGAGCACACAGAGCAGCGCCCATCTGGAAGGAGAGAAACTTTCAGATAGCTGAGCGGGCAGGGAGGAGACCACTGTCAGTGGTATCCCAGGAGGCCGAGCTCTCCTCCCGCACCTCCCCACTTGGCCTCCTGTGACAGGCAGATCAGGATGTGGAGCAGTGCGGGTAGGAGACAACTGTCAGCTGTCACAGGAGGTCGGGCCCGCAGTGCAGGGGGGAGTCAGATGTCAACGGTGTCACAGGAGGCTGGGCTCTCCTCCGACACCACCCGCTCAGACTCCTGTGACAGCGAGTCAGGATGGAGCGTGGTTACAAGCACTCAGCGATCAGCTGATCATTGAATGTTTATAAATAATTGAGGACATAGTATGTTTACTGTGTCCCCATTATGAATGAACAGGAAGTGTTTATAATATTTAAAAAATAATTTTAAAAAGTTAGAAAACATTTTTTTAGGTTTTGGCCTGACAAATTGTTTATTTTCGGTTTCGGTCTGAAAGTTCCATTTCGGTACACCTCTAATCCTTCCCCATTTTACTGAAAAGGGTTTTGTTACGTTTTCCACACTGGAAATATTACCCATCACGTCTTATCCTGAAAGAAAGTGTGTGGCATCACAGACCACAAATAAAATCCTGACAAAAGTTATATCCCTTCTCTTTTCTATCCAAAAATAAAAAGTTTTGGCTACATGTAGGCTTTACTGTCTCTTTGCTTATAAATAAAATGCACAAAAACATATTGCATCCAGGCATTATGTGATGTACAGCTTGGGGTGCCCTAGCTTCCCGAATCCTCTGTTTTTTCATTAGCAACTTACTTAGGATATTTACTAATTATGGCTTAGAAATTAACAACTGCCTGTTTAAAACTAAGACATGTTTGCATATATTTTGGTAGGTTTGTTTCCCCAAATCATTGGTTTATTGATAGAACAAAATCTAACCAAAGCTGGAAGCTCACTAAAACTGGAAACACAGCCACTTGAACAGTGTTTTTCCACTTTCTATATATGGCTGTGTTTTAGTTTAATCCATTTCACTGTTCCTCCACCATATGCAGACTTCCATCCACTCCCACTGGCCTCACCTTCTACTCCTGGAAACCCTGGACCTCCACCACTACACATCCTTTGTTGATCCCTGTCTTCACTGCAGTGGTAAAAGAGAAGAAGCACTCCATTCCTGCATATACCGAATGTGGGAATACTCTCCAAACCCTTCTACACATACTGCTTGCTGTCATACTAACCAAAATCCTCTTCTGCATATATGGCCTACTGTTAATCCTCTCTGCAATACTCTTCTGCACACAGGGACCACCCTCATACGCTCTGCACTTCTCCCCTACACATGTTGGCTGCGGTCATACCTGCAGTCTGTTAATGAACATACTGCCCAGTGTTATCTCCTCTGCACTGCTCTCCTGCAAATACTAACCACTGCTATCCTTTGTTCAATCCTCTCCTGCACATAGTGCCCTCTCTCATACCCCCTGCACTCCTCTCCTGAACATACTGCCCATTGTCATACCCTCTGCACTCCTTTCTGTACATACCTACTCCATCATACTCTCCATACTCCTTTCCTGCACATACTTCCAACTGTTGTATACTTAACACTTCTCTTCTGCAAATACTAGCCTCCTTTATATCATATTATATGCACTCCTCTCTACACATACTGCTCATTGAAATACCCTTCGCACTCTTCGTCTGCACAAGCTGAACAATACCCTTCACACCCTTTTCTTGCACATACTGCTTCCTGTCATAACTTCCACACACCTCTCCTGCACATACTGGCCATGGTCATACAGTCTGTACTTGTTTTTGTACATCTGTACATGTTCTTCCTGCACATACTGCCCACTGTCATATCCTTTTACTCTCCTCTTCTGCAAATACTAGCCATCCTCATGTCCTCTGCATGCCTTTCTGCACATACTGCACTTTGTCATACCCTCCACTTCTGCACATACTTAACATTCTACCCTCCAAAACTTTCTCCTATAGATCATGACAGCACTTTATTCCATTCCCATACAATCCTCATACTTGTCTGTTTGCATGCATTTATAATCTGTGTAACAACACTCAGCTTCAATACAAATGTTGCGCCCGGCACAATGGTTCTCAAGTTAAAGGAGAACTATGGGTTCAGTGCTTTTCCCCATAGTTCTCCTAAGGGTAACGGGAGGACACAAACTAGCGTCCCCCCGTCACCTAAAGCTCAGTATACCGTGAGCTACAGCTCGCGGTATACTGATACGCCGCAGCCAGAACGGATCCCGACAATGCTGTCTGGATCCACCCAGCTGCGTGAGTGACAGCTGGCTCTGCCTATCTAGAGGCAGTGCCAGCTGTACCCGCCCCGTCCGTTCCGCCAGTCAGCGCTGGAGGATCGGACAGGGGAGGGGATCCCTGCAGGGAGCCGTGAGTGACAGTCATGGCTCTCTGCACGTATAGATCAAGAAGTGAGCGAGCGACGGTATGTGTTCGCTCACTTCCTGATCAATGAGCCGACCTGTGACAGTTTCATTGTCCCAGGTCGGCTCAGATTATGAGGCTGAGTGAAAATCACTCGCCTCATAATTCTCCTTTAACTTGTTACCCTCTGTTACTGGTGCTAAGAACATGCTTTTGGGGAGAAGAGTCAACAATGTACGCATAAATCTCCAGCCACTGCAGTACATAAATGTCTCAATCACAAATTACTGTTGTTAAACAGTCGATATGATGCCAATGCTGTGTACATACATTTAGTCACAGCTGAAACACCAGACCTTCCTGTATTGTTACCTCCAGAAATAAATCATGCAGCTCAACAATTCTTTGCATCCATCTTCAGATTTCCCCTGCCACAGTAGAGACAGGAAGAGGCATAGATCATCATGCCGCATTGATAATAGATGTAATTCCAAGATATAACACAAATCAATGCTGCATTGATACTTTAGACGGATGACTGTATGTCTCAAAGGTCTAGTGTGTATACATGTGTGTATATGCATAGATATATAGATATAGACATATAGATATATATCTATATCTATATATTATTACACACACACACACACACACACACTGTGCCCAGGACTCCTCTGTGACCTTCTTCTTCACATTCTCAATGCATTTATACCCCCTAAGCCCTTCTCCTTCATATACTGCTTACTTCCATACCCTCTGCACTCCTCTCCTGCTCATACTCACATATCTCACACCCTTTGCACTGCTTTATTTAACATACTCTCGGTCATACCTTCTGCACTCCTCTCCTGCAGCATGCTTCTTGCTGTTATACCCTCTGCATCCCTCTCCTGTGCATACTATCCACTATTATAACTAGGGATGCACCGATATATCGGCTGCCGAAACATATCGGCCGAAAATTGCACTTTTGGCATAATACCGAAAGTGCCATTTTCTGGCCGATACAGCGGTGCATCCGTGATTTCTCTCCTCCCTGCTGGGCGCTGCTCTGTGTCCCAGCGGGGAGGAGAGAAACTGTCACAGGCGGCCGAGTGCTGCGGGAGGAGAGCCCTGTGAGCGGGCGGCGTCTCTTCTCCCACACCGCCCAGCCGCCCGTCACAGATCAGAGGAGAGCAGTGTG